AAGATTTTTGTGAAGGACAAATTGGACGGTACATAAAATTATGTTGCAACATGCCTTAAAAAGAAACACATTTATTCTTTAGTTTTTCCTTGGCTCTGAAATATACTGATATGACTGACATTTTGGAGAAACTACTCTGTGGTCAGAACCTTAAAAGGAATGCTGAATGGACTAGAGGAGACAGGTTCTTTCTTAGGAAGTTGAGGCCTGAGGTGACTAGGCTTTGCTGACTATAATCCCATGAACATCAGCTGGCCCTCTTTGATTTTGTTGGCTGATGGTGGGGCTGGAATTGCGGGTGGGGGCTCCCTTTCTTCCTTTCACTTCATTTGGTGATTTCTGAAGCTGATCACTTGGTCAATCAGGTGTTCTTCCTAGATGTTCGAGGAATGTTGTTTTATCTAGACTATTCCAGTTTCTGAGATTTTAAATGGATCCTACAAAGTAAACCCTCAAGATTCCTTTTGGCAAAATTTTGCTTAGAGACTCAGAAGGGTATTATTAAATTTCTAACTTTGGAAAGTTAGAAATTATATAAAGTGATAGGGTAGTTCTTTTCACTATGTAGGCTCATAGGGTGACCTTTTTTTGTTTTTTTAATGAAAAAGTGAATGCCAGTGAGTAAGTGAATAAGTAAATCTTACACTGTCCACACAGCCTGTCATTGTAAATATGATCACTTAGGGGAAAAAAACCCATTTCTAGTTTAAATGGTAATATTTTACCTTCCTGATGCCCATATGACCTGGCTCATCATTATTCTCCTCATGGTTTTAATCAATCCAAATGATTTTCAATCTACAGACCCCAGGGCTGCAGGAAACTCTTCAGAGCCTAAGTAAAGCCCTTGTAGCAAGGATGGAAAAAAAATGCAATTACATGTGTCTGTCATAACGTGACTAAAAGCAATATTATGACATTTGGTAAGCCAGAGAAAAATTCTATATCTTATTTCTCATTATAAAAATTATGCCCTTTTCATGAGAAATCTTCCCTTGGCCAATGCTATACATACGAGATTTCCCTCACTTTTAGGTGAAATAAAGAAATAAGATTGATAAGGAAGATGCAGATATTTTAGGCGGGGAAGTTTAAAAGTCCATCTATCACAATCATATTCTTTATTTTTCTTTATTAACAATGTAAAATAATCTTCCTTACAAATAAAGTAGATTTAAAGTGGATGCTAAATTAGTAAATAAAAGTTTGATGAGGACCTATTTCCAAAGTTTCAAAGTGTCCTCTTGAGTATTAATTACAGTGAAAAAAGAATCACTATAGTGGAGAAATCACACAGACATCACTTTACTGAAGAAATTAGTAAGTGTCATCACTATTAGGCTAAGATGACATTTGTACCTGCTGATATGACACACTGAGCAGGACATGGTATCACTTCATGGTAGACATGTGAAAAAGATCTTCAGATTGGGGGATATTCTACAAAATGACTGTGCTGAAAAAACAGTTTAGGTTTGAAAAACACCGTGGGCATGTGTGTGTGCATACCCAAAAGCCTGAAAAAGGGAAGAAATGAAAGGGCAACTGCACCATGACTATTCCCCTCGAGGAGCGCTTTCTCTTGCTCTCTCTGTTTCTCTCTGTTTCTCTCAACTGTGTGTGCCATATGCATACCTGGGGGGGGGGAAGGCGAGCTAAAAAATATAAAAATAAATATAACATGATATCTTTCATTGGATCCTCAACTAGGGAGAGATAAAATAGGTGTAAAGGACATTATTAGGCAGTGGGCAGATTCTGAATATAAACTGTAGATTAGGCACTAGTATTTTAATAATGTTAAATTTCCTGATTTCAGTATCTATATCGCGGTTATATGAGGGAAAATTCTTGTTCTTAGGAAATTCATCCTAATGTAGTTAGGATGAAGGAAAAAAATGCCTCAATTGCTAATGCAAAAATGTATATGTTTGTGTTATGTATATATGTGTGTATACACACACACCACACACACACACACACACACACACACACATAGTGGCAGAGTTCTAGAAGGCTTCCTGGAAAAAAAGCACATTTATTTAAACAGTTACCTGAAGAAGCACACTGGAGTTAGCTAGGTAGAGAGATCGGGGAATGGTGATCCAGGTAGAGAAACTAGTTTCAGAAAGAGATGTTTATAGGAATATTCTATACGGTACATGGAACTGAGGACCCAAAGTGGCAAACTTTGAGAAACAGACCAAGGTCAGATGACCTGATAGGGCTGTTATGCTGGGAGTAAGAGAGAGGCCTGGGGAGTTTTAGGCAGAGAAGTGATATGATATGAGCTGTCAGTTTCAGAAATTATTCTGGCCAAAGCTCCTAAGAACAGGCAGGAAGGACCAGATATGAGGGACGTGGGAAAAGCAGAAATGGCGATCTTTAACCCACATTCCCCTCTGTAACCACATGAAATATTTTTCCCAAAAGTAAAACAGGAAACAAAGGGGGAATTGTGTAGTCATTTTATCTGATGCATGGTTTCTTACTGTTTTCAGAGATTTTTTTGGGGGGGGTGGGCGGGAGCATGACTGAAACAAATGCCCAAAGTCCTTCTAGTCGTGAAGTCTTTATCTCATTATAGTTTTTTTTTTTTTGTTTGCCTCTTGAGACAGTCTCTTTGTATAGCCCAGCTGGCCTCAAATTCACAGCCCTCCTGTCTCAGCCTCCCAAGTAGCTTCGACTGTAAGTGTACCCTTACATGCAGCCTTATCATTCTAGTATTTTTAAATGGCACCTCCCACTGCCAATAAGCTTGAGAATTTCCTAGTTTTGCTAATTCATATTCATATCCTCTCAAGTATCGGCATTATTTCCCTCTGGACAGAATGCCTGGGTGGTAGGGGGGACATTCCCATATAGTTAACCATGAGTCTAACATAGTGATTAATTGCAATTTTCTGATGAATCCTGTTCTCATTCCCAAACTTTCTCTATCTTGCCTGACCTACACCTCCAGTTTATCACAGTTCTTTCTTTTTTATTTTAACGAACAGATATAAACCTCCTCTTCAGCAAATTCCATTTTCATGGTTGGAGGGTGGGCAACAAATCAGTCATTCTTTGGAAACGAATACGTAGTTAACCCTTCTTTTCTCCTAGGTGAGTAAAAGCTGCACATAAATATAGCTCCTCCTGGGTTTACAGTACTGCAACTGGGGGATTTTAAACACATACTCATGGAAATAAATACCAGAGTGAGCTAGGTAGGTAGGTTGGGAAGGGTGATGACCAGCCCGGAGAAATGCCAGGTTGGAGAAGGTTGATCACCAATCTGGATAAGTGCCACAAAGGAGAGCAGGATGTAGTGAGAGTGCATTACAGAGGAGTGACCTTGTCCTTGAAGAGATGAGATGGGGCTTGAGCTGAGATCAAGAATGAGTGAGAGGCAGCTGAATGGATGGCAGGACTCTCTCTCTTTTTCTCATCTGTCTAAGTAAGTGAACATCCGGAAGAAGAAGATGTGCTTGTAAGCCTCCTGTGATTAGAACAAATATATTACTTAAAGAACAAATGGAAAGAAGGCACAAGTAGGCTAGAAAGCAGGAGTGAGTATTTGCTAGAGAATTATTTCTCTTCATGCGCAGTTCTCAAAAATGTATGGCAGTTGGTCAGAACCACAGTAAAAAACAAAAACAAAAACAAAAAATCCCTCCATAATTAATCTACACTTATATTCTTGGTGGAGAGTATAGTAGCTTGATAGTAGAATTAATTATTATCTATGAAAGTTTGGCCTTCAGTTAACCACAGGAGGTTTTTTTTACAAAATTTTATTTAACTTTATTTATTTATTTTTTAATTTGATGAGAACAGGAGAGAAAGGGAAAGGGAGAGGGAGAGGGAGAGGGGGAGAGAGAGAGAGAGAAAGTGAGAAAGCAAGCTGCCAAGTCTGGGACTTGAACCACTGTTGGCCATGTGGGAGTCTAGTGCTCTTAACCACCATGTCACTTGCCGGCCCCCCTACAGGAGTTATAAAGCACTTTACTCTAAATACAAAAGGTGTAAATCTCCTCTAAACAATCCTCTGTCAGAGATGGCAGAGGGTGACAGATAGGGAATCAAGGGTGGGGAAAAAAGCAAAATATACAGGAAACAAGAAATGGAAAATTACTTTTTAATGGTAACATGTATGTTGATGTGCTTGATTGAGTCAATATACAGTATATACTGGATGGAAAATCTCATTTTGTATGCTGTAATGATGTACAATGAATGAATGTAAATAAATAAATTTAAATAAAAGAATAAGAAATAAATTTTTAAAAAAAGGAAAAAAAAAATCAGTGAGCCAGACTCTTAACCATTCCCCAAGCATGCTAGTAGACCATTGAAGGATTTGCAATAAAGCAATCTTGTCAAATTTTTTAAACATTTAATTAATTAAT